ATATTTAGAAAAAAAAATTTTCAAAAGATAAATGACCATTTTGCCAGAATGCAGTCTGTTATTTAGGGCGTGATCCATGTAGAAGGGGGAAACCATTCTCTTTTGATAGACTAAAAGCTCCTCAAATCAATGGTAGATCCCTGACAAAATGGCGTTTGAGATGATTTAAAGGTTTAACTAGATTTTGCAGACAATGGGTGCTAATTTTTTTCTGTAATTCTGACACTTTTTAATGAACTATATGTTCTTAGTAAGAGATTCTCTCCTCTGGGAGCCCAAACAGGGACAGGCTTTCTGGGACCTGCAGGTGGCTCCTCAATGGTATCCTTTCCTAGACATTCCAAACAACAGAAAGCCCTTTCGTCTATTTGTGCATGAGCAATTCAGACAAGCCCTCGGAGTTTCATGGGAACTATCCAAAAGCCATCACTGACTATAGCCTTCCCTTGACGTGCTGTAAAGACATCTCTCCCTAGTGTTAGGGCAAGTGCTCTGCTGCAAAATTTGTTGATGCTTCTGCTGAGCTAGTTTCAGGCTCTTCGCTTGACCTCATGATTCTTCCTGAAGTAAAGACATTACTACTGACTGAGAACACAGCACTTTTCAGGCAGCTGATTAACCTCTTTTGAAATTCTATTACTCTCTCCCTCTCAAGTACTACTTACTGCTACAACACCCCGAATCCTGGCACTCACCTTCCTCCTCGAAGAAGGGAAGCCTTATGATGGTGTTACCTCAGATAATTTGGGAACTCTCAGCACCTAACTCAGATTTATTATAGTCTCATGTTGAGAACCTTGAGCTAATCCCGTTTGTTCATGGATCATTCTCAATGCTAGTCATTATCAAGCAGCATATACTATCACTAACTGAAGGTCTCCTTTAGAGTATAGTCCTTTACCTGATGTAAAATCAGTCTAAATGGCAGAACTTATTGTATTTACTAGAGCTTAACTCTGGCTTAACTAGCCAAGACTAGGGAGTGAACATATATACAGATAGGAAGTATGCTTTTGGAGTGCTACACGAATTTGGGTTGCTAGAACCTGCATAAAAATGGAGAGCAAATTAGGCAATTTTTAGATGCACTTTACTTACCACAGAGGTGGCTATTATCAAGTCTAAGAACCATGCAAAAAGAGAGAAGGTTGAAGCTAAAGAAAATGCCGTAGCAGATCATGATACCAAACAGCTACATTTTTCCTTGAAACCACTCGTAGAGCGCGGATGGATTACTACCTTACATCAACACTGTTGGAGAAGCTGTAAAGAGAGGGTGGCATTGTTCTAAATTTCATGTAGGTTAGAAATGGCGAACACCATCCCTAGTATTGTACTTGGATCAGTGACACAAGCAAGGTGGGGCAGGCTGTACAATGCCTTAAAGGGCAAAAACTATTTGCTCTGTAAGGTTGATCTTCATAACCTGTGTGGGATTCATCCTTAGTCTAGGTTAGGGTTGTGGATTCAAAGCATCTTACAGGGGTTATTGGTTGTTCTTGTTTTGGCTATAGTGGTCGTGATACTGGTCCACTGCATTCTATACAGGGTCTGAAATGCTTCTGCACAGACACTTCCTCGTCAGATGGAACAAACCATGATGTACAACAGAAAGTCTGAGAAGATACTTGGCCATGGTGACGACTGGACTATCAGTCTCAAAGCAGTGAAGATCTGGATTTCTAGACTTCCCTAAATTCATCAACCTGTCACAAGCAAGAAAATGATCCGAGAGGAGGATGGAAAGACTGAACACGCAAGCAGACAATGATCAGACCACAGGTACACTGAGAACCTCTGACCCACACCTGTGCAGGAACCAGCCCGGAATGGTCAGGGCATGGTCAATGACTGCCCATTTCCCTATTTTTTGCTCCTACTTCCAAATCAGGACCAACCAGAGAAAGCCAACTATGTTCCCAAAATGAATTGCATAAGATTCCTGGTTTCCAGGTAGCCTAGCTCCAGCTTCCCCATGCCAACACCTCCCATCACCACATGCCTGAGGCCTCTCTCCATCACCCCCTTTTCTAATATAAAGCTTTTCCCTCCTCTGCCTGCCTTTGCATTTCTGTCAAAAGCTATTGCTGGTGGTTGACTCCCCTACTGCATAGCAAGTTCAGAATAAATATCCTCTGCTTGTTCTCATTTGGATGGCCTTTACTTATTTCTACAAAACTAAAGATTATGGATAATTGGACTTCTCTTCAAAGATACAATTTTCTACTACAACACTTATACTTTTCAATCACTATCTTATGACACACCAAAATCCTGGCAACCTCTGTGTCAGGATTTTCCTAAAAATCACATCTGATGATCTTTTCTTTCCACACACTTACGGAGCCCCTCAAACTCTTGGCATGCTCCTGGCCTGCTGTGGCCACAGAGCCTCCAGGAACATTTTCAAGCTCTGTATTTATTTTTTTAAGTTTATTTCTTTATTTTGAGAGAGACAGTGACAGTGTGCATGGGGGAGGAGCAGAAAGCTAGGAGGGAGAGGAAATCCCAAGTAAGCTCTGCGCTGACAGTGCAGAGACCGATGAAGGCTTGAATTCATGAAACTGTGAGATCATGATCTAAGCCAAAACCAAGCTGGATGTTTAACCAACTGGAGCCACCCAGGTGCCCCTCAAACTCTTTAAAACTCAGGAGGCACAAACTATGAAGCAAGTCAGAGGCTCTTGGTGAATGATGATTCTGAGGACAAGGGGCAGCGATACAGGCACTGTGTGGGCTCCCTGCCATCCTGCCAGCCAAGCCCTTTGCCTCAGGTAGTAAGAGGCAGACTCATATTCTTTATTCTCCTGACCCACAAGAATGGCTTTCCCCCATGGGGGAAATGACACGTGCAGAAGAGGACTGGTGTGGAGGTGAGACACAAGAGCACCCAAAGAGCATATGGTTTACTCTGATATTGTTTACAAAACTGACCAAGGTAAATAAAAACAGGGATGCTTAGAATGAAGCGTCACAGTTTTATTCAAGAAATTGACAGTTTTCATGGTAAGTATTGTCTGCATATGAAATACCAAAATGATTTCTTTCTCAAAAAATATTTTTTAGTTTTAGAATGCACTTTCCTTACCTTGCCTGTTCATGCTAACTTTGAACTTGAATTGCTCAGTGTCCTCTGAAAGGATGCAGGACTGTGGTACCTCCTGGTGTCACAGTGGCTGTGGTGGTCTCGGGTTGTGACTTCTTCCATGCTGCCTGGCCCAGTTCCCTGGGACACTGTTCCTGCAGCCACACGTTCCTGTAGATGGCCTCCCTGTGGCGATTCTGGGCCTGGGCTCCCGCTGAGAGATGTTGCTTGGCCAGGTCCTGTGATTTAGCACATCCCAGAAACATCTGAAAAAATATCTTATCCCTTGACACAGCAATCAAAACTGAGTTGCCAAGATTAACCATGATTTCTTTTGGGCATCGATAGCGTGTTCCTCTTTAACTCTGGGTGTGATGCTTATTCTTCCTGCTGTCACACTACCTGCCACCCATCCAGCCTCGGCTGCAGACATAGAGAGGTGCCCCAAACTGAAAAACTCTACATACAGGTTCTGATTTTTTCATGACGCCTGCTAAGAACCCTTCATGTGAATTCCTAACACAGTACTAACAAGGCCATTGAGGCTGCAGCTGGGGAAGGAACGAGGACACAGCAGGCATCCTCAGTGGAAAGGGGTGTTTTCTGTACACATGGGGGCGAGAGCAGGGGATAAGTAAGCTCTGTGCCTATCTTCACGCTGAAGAGATGAGACACGCTCTCCGCCCCTCCCCCCTCCCCCGGCCCCCACCTCCGCACGTGCCCTTCAGACCCAGACTATGTCTTTCTGGGGCCACAGAGGTAAGGGCTTCTCAGGCACCTCCTAGAACCACCTTAAATACCACTTGCTAAGTATCCTACAAGTAAATATGCTCAAAGGAGGAGAGGAAACCATTCACTGGGAAAAATGCTTTATTTATACTAGGGGAAATTATGCTTTTCCTTTCAATTTTCTTTTGTATGAGAAGTATTTTTCTGGGCCCCCTTCTCAGACATTATATTCAGCTAAATTTCCACCCAAATAAGCTGGCCTTGTGGAGGGAAAGCATCCTTTGTGGAAGTTGGTGGAGAAATGTACTTTTAAAGACAAATAAACCAAACACACACATGCAAACGTTCTTGATAGAAGTTCAATGCTCTTGAAAAAGGGGCTTTTAGTATTTTAGTATGAACTTTTCCTGACATAGGTTTCTAAACATTCAGAGAGAAAGGCTGTAGCAAATAACAGACCTTAGAAATTATATTTATTTCTAGTCCCTGTGGCTACATTGAAGGAGGACACCAAGAGCAGACACAGGTGCTGAGGGCCAGAAGCTATAGCTCTGAGGGCCAGGGGCAGCCCGTGTGTGCACACGTGTGCACACAACACAACCATAAATCAGATTTATGTTGGTAACAACATTGATTGTCAACTGACCCACCTACTCCTTGCCAGGCCTTGGAGGAGGTGGTCAGAATATGCCTACACAACCCAACAGAAAGGCATAAACAGAAGCACTTAGTATTTAAAGCTTCATGGTGGTTCGGGGCAAATTTTTTTCGTCTGACTGTAATGGACCTTCCCTTATGGCTATGCATTTATATCCTCTCTCATACAACTGTCCAACTGCAGCTTCAAGAAATAAGCCACAGGCAAACTGCCAGAGAGCCACAAATATCTCAACTAGACATGGCTGCTGCTCTATTTTAGGGAAGGAAACATAAAGGAAGGAATTCCCTGAATGGTGAAATTAGAGGAGTTTTAACAGTTGCCATAAATGTGCCTAATCACATACATATTGAGTAAGACAAGTCAATAGATACAACAGGTTTCCTTGCAATATTTCAATCCTTATACTGAAACTTCAAAATCAGAAACCTGAGGTTTCCAACTGGAAGTTAAAAAGAGAAAAGAAGTATACACATTTTATGACACATGATTTTATTTACATAACAAATTATTTTCTTAGTCACCTTGATTACAAAAGCAAATTAACATGGTATGGTTTAATAACCTTTCATAAATAGATTTCACAAATTTTAATACCTGACAGATTGCTACTTATACCCAGTAATAGTTAATACTTAGTAACTTCTGTGTATATGCATATGAAAATTGTCTGATAGGACTAGTAAATATGAGTGCTTTTAAAACTCAGGAATAGACAATTAGATTATTGGTCAAGGGTTAATTCCCCATCACTGGGTCAGCCAGTTCGGCCTGGAGTTCTCACCCTACCAAGAACAAACCTACTGTGGCAACTCATTGGGTAGGTATGTTTAATTATTTGAGAGAGTTTCTCCTTATTTTTGCATTACTAAGACTATCATTGAGCAAATCTGAAAATCAAAAGTTTACCACAATTAGATATTTGTAACAGAACTTATCGCAGTGTGTTTGAAAAACAGCCTAAACTAAAGCTATGTTGTATCTCCAGTAATTGTTTTTCCAGCTCTCTCTGGGTGAGACACACGCACACACACACACACACACACACACACACACACACACCCCTCATGAGGCTCTGATACATACTCGTCCAAGCCTTCTTGGCCACAAAAATGCCCCCATTTGACTGCTTTTGTGGAATGCCTGTAGGATATAGTATTTGGATGAGACTACTGTCAATCTTTCACAGTGCTTTAAGTCTGAAGGCCAGGCAGTGTATTGGTAACTGACCCTCTCCTGCAAAGTTACACAGAAGAGCTGTCAGGGACTTCCCGAAAGCCGCCTCCACAAGATGGGAGGAGCGCTGTGTGTCTGTGACCACAAACAAGCAGTGAAGAATGACAAGAAGCTTATGAGTCATGGTCAGAATCTAATAAACAAAAGTGTCTTGCTATATAGCAGCAGTAAGTTACAAACACAGAAAGAGTAGATACACGTACCTTTTCACACAAGCTCTATGAGAGCCAAAACATTGTCTTTCCCACATCAGAATTGTAATCAGAGGGGTAGCAATCCTCGGTCACTGTTAACGTTACTTCTAATGGAACTAGCTGAACTGTCCCTTTTAAACTGAGCACTGACCCCACCCACTCCTAATGTGTGAGACGAGTCACCGTTTTCTGGCACTGGACATGTGGCACCCTGGAGGCCGGCAGGGGTGGGATTCACGGCAGCCGAGTTTCAGCTGTTAGCAATCCCGGGATGGGAGGCCGCTCCATTCAAAAACCCCTCTTCTTCATTCTGTTCTTGTCAGGGGGTAGTGCTCACTCAGTGATGGGGACAACAGTGATGTGTCCAGGGAGCCTTGTCCTCTCACACCGCTTATCTACATAGCAAATATGGCATCAAATCTCTCTATTGTGCTAAATTGAAGAATCATTTAAATCATTAAAAATCAAACGTCTTCCTAAGAAAAGGTTACATGATTTAAAAATAAAAACCCACTCCCAGGATCTCAAATGCTGAGCTGAGGCCTGTCCCGAGGTCCCCTCATCCCCTCCAGCCCTGGCCAAGGCTTCGATGCCGTGATAGAGCCTTGCTGGGCTTCTTGTTCTGAACAAGGATGTGTTGTTTGGGCCAGGTTTTTTTTTCCTGCTGCCTTTTTTGTGTGTGTGCTTCATGTTTAATTTGTGTTGCCTTGTTTGCTGGCAACAAGAAAAATCAGACTGCTCAGGTAGTGAGTGAGGGACCCACATGTGTGAGCAGAGTGTGTGGTGGTCACTGATGAACACAGACCAACACAGGGCACTGCCAAGGGCTGGAGAGGAAGGAACACCTAAAGGCTGGACTCGGAACTCTGGTCCAGCGCGCTACATCTGCCAGGAGGGAAAATCACCAGCCAGTGTGAAGTGCACAAAGGAGGGGCCGGCAGACTTTCTGTTCTCGGCATGTTTCTTCCCCTTGTGAGTCCATTACCTTTCACAAAGAAATGTTAACTATCAAATGCGTCCATTAATTGTGCCGCTGAGGGTGAAACCATCCAGTTAGCATATACACTATCATTTGCATATCTTGGACACACAGTGTTAGTGCCATCAGCTCTCGTGAGTGGTACAGGACTCTCTTCAGGCCAGTTCGGGTCTGACATGCCTAAAAATGAAAACAGATCATTTGTTCTGCACTGAAGAACCAAAACTTCATGTGCAGACAGTAAGGCCTTGGCAAAACTCCCTTTGAGGTTCAAACCAAACTTTCTGGTTTTCTGTGCCAATTACATGAGTGGTTTTGTGCTCCAGGTTTCCAAAACACTGCCGTATTTTGGGGGAAATATCACGTGCTCTCTTGGTAACTGTAACTTAATAGAAACTCCCCGTTTTGACTTTTATGAGCTTTAGACTCTCAAATCTGATATAAATATTTGTTGATCTGTTTAAGTCTTTTTTTTTTTTCTAAGGCAGCATAAAGCACTGCTGAATTAAAGGGCTCACGGCAGTGGGAAGCTTCTACAAAAAGTTTTCTAATGTAAAGAAGCCTACTCATCTTCCATCCAAACCCACCGCAGAGGAGAGAATCTTCCAAATCAATGGTGCGCACAGGCGAGCCCCACAGCGTCGACAGGACAGTGGTGTGTGGCGCTAGACCCAAAACCAGCAAGGGATCAGTGACGCGGGAGGCATGCAAAAGGAACAATCTCGGCTAGAAAATGCTTGACACTCCAAGATTTAAAAGCAATCAATGATCAAGTTAGGAAACAGAAAAAAATTTTCAAGTATTTAATCAAAGACAAAAGAAGGAGTTTTGGCAAGAACCGTATTTACTGTCCATTGCAAGACACAGCACCACAGACTATGTTCTTTCAAAAGCATTTGCTCCAGCTTTTAGCACTGACTTCGTAAGTGACAACTGTCATGACAGTGTGTAACGCAAAGGATGTGAAAACAGCAGTCGGCATGTGTCCTGCCTGATGGTGGGCATGTGGGCTGGGGTGAGCTCCCTAGTGTGGAGTAGCCTCCCAAGAGCCACCTGCCCATCCAGATGGGGTCTGGGAGTGACCACAGGCTGTGCCCTCAGAGCGGGCAGGGTGGTGTTCGCTCCTCCTGTCTGAATTATACGCCTGTCCAGATGGGGTAAACTTATCCCAGTAGTTAAACTAGAAGTACTATGACTTGATGCATACCCACCCAGAAACGACTTGTTTATCATTTTCTCAATATCCCCTGAGAATCCTGCCCAGCTCTCTTTCTTCTCTATTATCATAAGTTGCTGGGCAGTGTGGTAGTTATACTTATTTTCACATCCTTTTTTTAAAAAAAAAACATAGTTTCAAAAATGCCTGAATGTAAACGGATGCAAAGTCAGACATTTACAAATAAAAAGGTTCAGAGAGCACTTTGGTTTCATTCAGACCAGAAACACTCTTAAAAAGCATTACAGAGCGTAAGGATAGTGCAGAGAGGAACGATGTTGCTAGAATCTAGTAAATGCATGTGAAATTCTACCATAGAGTTTGTTTTCAATCCACGTGGAGGGGAGGGCTCGAGGGAGGGGAGCATTATTACAGTCCACCAGGGGCGTCTCCTCCTCTGAGAGGCCATCGTCGTAAAGCAGGGAGTCGGATGGGGTGGAGGCAGCCAGGTCCAAGTAGTCCTGGAAGAGAGAGACGGCTGGTCATCTCAGTGCGGGTCACTACCCGATGCCCCCTGCTCCTCCCCTCCCAAAGGCAGACTCGCTGGCTAAGTCCCACCTCATGCTGGCCTACTAGCCTCTCCTCAAGCCCTGAGCCACCTGCCAGACAGCCGGCACTGAGCTCTCCCAGCCTCTGCTTCGCCACCCTGCTCCACAGCCCTCACTGCTCCCTCTAGAAAGTCACCTGCTTGGGGTAGAAATGTGCTCCTTCACTGCCTAGTCCTACCTCTGCACCATGTGGGAAGGGGGTGGGTTACCACATCCAGCACTGGGGAACCGGCTCATTTACCAAACCCAAGGCTCTGGGAGAGCTCACTGCAGCCCCATCACTTGTGTGAGCGTCAAGAAGCATCTCTGACCTGCTAGATGTTTTTAGCTTTCCTCTGAGGACCTCCATCTAGAACAGAGCATCAGGACTCAGAAATCTGAAGTCACTGATGTGGGTTTTGCACAGGAGGCTGCTATGGGCTTCGGCTCCCAACTATGATGATTTCCCAGGGCCTGCAACTTCCACTGCCCTGGTTAAGTGTGTAAAGAAAAGTTCTAGCATTTTCCTGGATGTTTCTCTAGGCATTCTTGGCTATCCTGGCATCATCTATGATTTTTATTTAAGGCAATCCTGTGTTCACAGCATTTGGAGGCTTGGACCAAATGGTACCCTGATGTTAGGTTTTATTACAAGTGGCCTACACCATGAACATTTGTTTTTGTGTTTGAAGAAATGCCAACTTTTAGCAAACGTGTCAAGGTAAAGATTGGGCCCTGAACCCCTGAAGGTAAGATCTGTGTCTGTCTTGTTTACTTGTATCCTCAGCATCTGAGACAGAATATGGTACATAGCAGTTGCTCAGTAAATATTAATTGAAACTTGTTGGCTTTCTCATTTACCTAGAGTTGTAACCCAGTAGTACATGGGCTAACCTTAGTCTCCCAGATAGGATTTATTTGGACCAGACTGAGCTTTTGGAAATTTATTTTTATTTATTTTGAAAGAGAGAGAGTGAAGAGCACAAGTAGGGGAGGGGCAGAGGGTCTGACCTGGGGCTTGAGTTTGATTATGAGATCATGACCTGAGCTGAAATCAAGAGTTTCACACTTCATCAACTAAGCCACCCAGGCACCCCAGCTGTTGGAAATGTAAATGAGTTACTAACATTAAAAACTAGAAAACTTCAGGGGCAGCTGGGTGGCTTGGTGGGTTAAGCATCCAATTTCAGCTTCAGGTCGTGATCTCATGGTTTGGAGTTTGGGCCCCACGTCGGGCCCTGTGCTGACAGCTCAGAGCCTGGAGCTTGCTTCAGATTCTATGTCTCCCTCTCTCTCTGCTTCTCACCTGCTCACACTCTGTTTCTCTCTCTCTCAAATATAAATAAACATTAACAAAAACCTGGAAAACTTCACATAAATATCCTTTAAAATCCAGAAGACTAGGCACTGTGGTCCTCGTATTCCTATAGATTAAGTGTGGCTACAGCGAGAGGCCCTTTAGAGGGGCTGGTGCTCTCCTGTTTGCTGCAGTCCCCACCACTCCTTAGTCGGGGCCCTCGCAGCTCTACTCTGATGACTTGTTTCTTTACTGAAAATGATTTTGTTTGATTTTGGAATATTTGCTTCCCACACCCGTCTTTGGAGAGCTCTAAGTATAAAGGGAAGAACCTTGGTTTCTTTATGATGTGAGAAAGGGCCAGCCTCAAGGAGAAGGGCTCAGGTGCTGGCTGCCTTCAGGGGACAGCATGGCCATCTCTCTTTGTACAGCCTTGCCCTGCCCCTGCACTGGGGACTCCACAGAACAGGGATGAGGCTACAGTCCCCTCACTGCCATGTTCCGCCTGCAGGTGGCCAACGCCAGGAATCAGCTCCAGGCACTCACTCTGTTCTTAACCATCATCTTCTCCAGGTCTTTGCTGATGTCAGCAAACACCGGCCTCTTGTCTGGTTCCTGCTTCCAACACTGCAGCATTAGACCGTACCTGGCGGGAAGCACAGATGAGCAGTTATGACCCGGCGTGAACGGCCCAATCACAACCGCCATACCCAGCATGGTGCCCTGGGCCCACAGAGCTCTGCTCTCAAACCCCAAAGCTCTTTCTGCGTCATTGGACATCCTTCTCTGAGCTGAGCCAACACCCGAGGGTTGTTAGGGGCTCAGTGTGCCTGGTGCTGTGGTCCAGGATCTTATGTGTCTCCTTTCCCTTGAAAGAGATTTGTTTTCCCTTCCTTTTCAAAGATGTTGGTAAACAGCTGACAGGACGCCATGCCCGCTATGGGGCTGAGGGGGAAATGCTAGTCCTGAAACTCTTATCAAGTGTGAGTGGAAACAAACAAAAGCTTCTGCCAACCACACCTCTGCCTTTTATGTCCTCACTTCCTCATTTCTCCCTCATTTTCCTGGGGCTCTGGCTTGGCTGCAGGGCCTCCAGGGCTGCCACGTGGGTGTGCCCTGGGCCGCCAAGACGCACGGCACCTACTCACCCCTACACTCCCTCATCTAGCCCTGAGCCAGGCCCACAACGGGTTTTGTGGAATGAACGGACCAGCCTGTTTCTGCCTGTGGTGGCACCTTCTCATGTGTTCTCAGCCGAGCCTCTGCGAATCATCTGCTGGAACTACCATGTGAAGACTCTGGCACTCCTGGGCTGTGCTGCAGTCTTCCTGCCTGCCCCCTGCCCGCCTCTGTGTCTCCATGTGAGCCCTCCCCAGCACGCATCCCTAGGGTCATTCTGAATTACCTGCTCTCCCCGGGTGTCCTTTGGGGACAGGCCTTGGGCTCAAGCTGCTCCCTGGGTCTGAAGCCCCCTTTTATCCTCTCTACCACCTCTCCTCGGCCTTACTCCCCGTCATCCATGTAAGCCTCCCCCCACCTCCCGGAAGCCCACCCAGCTCCCAGCAGAGTCAGGGCCCCAGCACCTGCCACTGTGCCCAGTGGTGGTTCTCGGACTTCTGCCTTGGCATACTCTGCCCTGTTACTACCTACTCCCTGGTCTACCCTGGGCTCAGGAACAGCGAGGGCATGAGTGCAGTGTTTGTGACTGAGGGAGGCTGGGCCAAGGCAAAGCCTGCTCACATCTCCTCGCTGCAGTTGTCGGGCCTCTCCATCCGGTAGCCTGTCTTCAGAAGGTTGAAAAGCCGCTCGGGAGGGATCCCAGGGTAGGGGTTGCCCCCCAGAGTCACAATTTCCCACAGCAGGACGCCAAAGGACCACCTAAGGGGAGTGAGACAACCAGTGGGTGGTGGTACTGGGCCAGTGGTGTCCCCTTCTCAGCAGACCAGACGTCCATCACCCCAGCAGTTGTTGACCCCATGAACCCCCCAGTGCAAAGAGCCAGCCAAGCGCTCATGGATTTCAGCCTGGGCCTGACCGTGTGGATGGATGTGGAATGGAGGTGGGGATGAGCTGTCTACCTGCCCTGCTCTCACCCCTGCTGCGCTGAAGGCCCATCAGGCCGCTGCCACCGGAGCTTGGCCCCCACACCCACAAGGGGCACTTGGCTGGCCCTGTGGAGATGCACCAAAGCACCAGAGACAGCACAGAGCGGCTGAGCAAGTGCACCAATACGCGAGGCGGGGACCGAGGCCACGAGGCTGCCTGCACAATTCCTTTGCCTTTTCTGTGGGCTTAGAAATGTTCATAAAATCTTAGAAGAAAAAAAGCACTGTCATAGAAAAATATTTAACCGTGAGGGAGAATTTACTGTGAAGTGGGAACAAAATCACATTGCAAAATCGCATCATCACGTGAGCCCACGTACAGTGATAAGAAGCATATGCCTGCACACGACGGAAAACACTAGATGGTCATGGAAGTTAGGAGCTGCAGGAGCTACTTAGCGACCCAAGTGATGTGCAGTGTCCTCAGCACTCTTTCCTCTGCGTTTCCCAACTGTCTACAGTCAGCTTTATGTAATCTGAACACAGCTACTTAAAACTGTTTAGGAACTGCCTTTTCTCATCCCACATAATTCAAGAAATGTGTGTACATTGATGGCAGAACACTCAGAAGCAAGTTTACTGTGTTTTTGAAAACTCTCAGGTCTTATGATTTGACGTGGAAGGACAAGTTTTGGTTCCTTTCTTCAAGCACTTTGGGATACACCAACCCAGCAACTCACTCAAGGCTACCCTACCTATGGTGGGACGTGTCTGAGCCCAGCCCATGCTCAGGCCCACAGAGGGGAACTGTTGGGTTGGGCCCGTGTGGCACTAAGATGCCCAGGGAGGAGAAGGAGGGGCTGGCAAGGGGGGCAGCGAGGGAAATTTGCAGTTACCCCTTCACTGTTCTCACATATTCCACTGGGACTCTCAGAGCCACTTTGTAGGACCTTGCTGTTTGCTGAATGAATACATGAAGGCCTCTCAACTTGCGGGGGTGGGGGGTGGTCATTGCAGATGGTTGGTATGAGCCAATAGGCACCTGGGGCCCGCGCTGTCTCCCCATCGTGGTACCCTATGCACTGTAACCTTGACCACAGGAAGGCAACACCCGCACTTACACATCACTTTGGGTGGTGTAGATATGATCAAAAAGAGACTCAATTGCCATCCATTTGACTGGAATCCGACCCTAAAAAGGGAACAATGGAAAGACATTAACATGGCTCTGACGCCCTGGGAACTGGGGTCGGGGAGTGTGGAGGAGGTTGGGGCCACATCCCAGGCATTTCCAGCTCTGGAGGGATGCTGAGGAGTGACGTCCAGAGTGCTCCCAGGCACAGAATTGGCAGCAGGGCCTCAGAGGGGCTGGAACTCTAATCTGGTCTCCCAGGTAGGCTGAGATGCTGGAGGGAGTCAGCGGGCCTGCCTACAGCTACATAGGGCATGCTTGTCATGCATCGCATCCCTGCTGAGAAGAAACCCAAGGAATCAAGACCACATCCAAGCCAGGTTTCCCTAGGGCCAGGTCCAGAAGGCTCTGGGGTAACCTGGGTGGTGATGCCCAATGTGTGGGCCAAGAACACCATCCAGCAAGGTCTCCTGATTTCTGAGGGTGAATGAGTTCAGGAAACCAACTTCCAGTGTTTCCACCTTGGGGACTTCTGAGGCAAACCAACACGCTAAAGGCTTTTCTGAGAAGCTCTGAGTGAAGAAATCTGTTTCCATGCCTTGGGGCTGTTTTTTTCCCTATCATTTTATCCCAGAGCCCTGTTAGCATCCTCTGAGAGACTGCCCACTGCAGAGCTGCTGGGGTCAGACCTAACAAGTGCTTTCCAATGCAACTTGAGAAACAGCTTTTCAGTAGGTAAGTCTTAGGCTACAAATCAACCAAAAATGTGTGCATAGATTTAAATGCAGAATTTACTGCAATTTCTTTTTCTTTAAAGCATTCTTCAGGATTTCCATCCTTCATGAAGTGTCACTTTCTGGGGTGTGTGTTCGTAGCAATACTGCCTGCTGCCTTTGCTCTCTAAGGGGCCATGTGCTTGGAAGTCTATACTTCTCTGCTCCCTGACACAGGCCATTCTTGGGGGACCAGTGCATATATAGAAAGGCTTTGTCCACACCCCTCCACAGGGGAAGCAGGCCCTCTCCACTTCCCTTTCAGCAGTTCTGAGATATGCTGTCACAACGGAAACCCCAGAGGCACGTGGGTGGCTCAATCCATTAAGCGACCAACTCTTGATGTCAGCTCAGGTCACAATCTCATGGTTTGTGAGTTCAAGTCCTGTGTTGGGCTCTGTATTGACAGCAGGGAGCCCGCTTGGGATTCTCTCTCTCTCTCTCTCTCTCTCTCTCTGTCCCTCCCCAGGTCGCACGCTCTCTTTCTCTCAAAATAAATAAGCTTAAACAACAAAACAAAACATCATCCTCACAGTCTGTGGTGACACAGACCCCTTAGAGCAAATCTGAAGTGTATGTGGTCACTTTTTGTATTTTTCTTTTTTGAGCAGTGAGTCTGTTCTGAAAGCCAGTCAGCTGTGGCTCTTGAAAGGCCATGGGAGTGATCCTGTCTGGTCTGTCACAAGGAGGCAGCAGGGGAGGGGCTGAGGGGCAGTGGAACTAAGAGAGTTGTCCCCAGCCAAGCTGCCTAGATGGGCATCGTGGTGCCCCAAGCATGTAACCTTGACCCCAGGAAGGCAACACCCACACTTACACATCATTCGGACATGCCACAGGAAACTGGACAACACAGGGACACAGGTTTCCCCAGAAGGGCCCCCAACCACCTATGTCAGAGGTTTGGAGAAAGTGACTAAGAAAAAACCTTACATTGTGTCTCTGGACTCCATCTCCAGGGCCTCCCTGTGAGCCTTCCACACTCACCCAGCCAGGGGTTCCCAGGTCCCTGTTCCAGGGGAACCCTCCACCCACAACACAGTTCATTCCTTTCTGCCCAGAATGACTGCCACACTCAGGTTTTTTGACTCAGTCTCCTTTGAGCGAAGAGCTAAAGGTACACAGAGGAAGCAAGGGCCCTTTCATCCTGCAGAAGGGAGAGGAACAACTGCAGAGAGACCTGTCATTTCCACAGCGCTAGCTGACCTTCAAAAGTGACGGTGATTAAAAGCAAAAGAAGCTGTGGGCCCAGCTTCCCAGGGGTGCTCTGAAAGGGCAGGTGTGGCCCTCAGGAAGAGAAGGAACAGACACAGGGACGAGTCCTGAGCTGGGTCTCTGGGGGCCCACGATTAGGGAAGGATTTGAAGATGAAGTTTATACTCTAAAACAATCTGCTCTCTCCTCCTCAGGTGCTCTAAGGGCTCTGCCTCGACCCATGGTGGGAACCCTGGACCCCTGCTCTCCAACCACCCTGGGAGCCCTGGGCCACACCCCCAGGGGGACCCGGTACCTTGCTCCTCTTCACATAGGAATCTTCTTCATAAACATCTCGGGACAGCCCAAAATCCGAAATCTTCATCTTCCGCCCCTCAGCCACCAGGACATTTCTGGCTGCCAAGTCCCGATGGACAAGCTGCAAGGGAGACAGCGGCAGGGACGCCTGAAGCGCGGGCCCCGGCGCGGGCAGTGGGGGCCCGGGCTGGCGCGGCACACACCTTCATCTCAGCCAGGTACCGCATCCCCCGAGAGATCTGCCAGGCGAAGGAGATGAGGTCGCCCATGGTCAGGGCCCGCTCCTCGGGGTTGTCCAGGTAGCTGGAGCTGCGACTGCCTCCGCTGCCCACGTAGCCGGGCCCTGCCTTGCGGCTCTCTCGGAGGAAGCCCCGCAGGGAGCCATACTTGGCGTACTCCACAATGAGGAAGAGCGGCCCTGGGGGCAGAGAGGGGGCTGTGAGCTGGCTACCTGCAGGGCTCTGGGCCTGGAGGAGGCCACAGGGCCCCAGGCAGGCTCTGCACCCTACTAATCAGTGGGCACAAGGACACAGCCCTCTCTGGCCAGTGGCTTGGGTGCCACGCAGCATGTGTTTCAGTCCCAGCTCACTCTTGCATGGTGTGCTCTCCTCCTTGTGCTGGCCATGCCAAAACGGGCTCCTGGGCGGCTGAGCACAACTTTCCCCTGGGGTGCCCAAGGCAGGTGGCTACTACGCTAGTGCGGTCCCGGGAGCCAGCCCCCTGCTGCCAGGAAGTCACGTCTTTCTAGATCTTTGGCCATGCTGTAGCACAGGCTGGGGATGGCTGGGGATGGCTGGGGACCGCCGATGGAGGCAGAGGATCTGCTCCCTATTCTCAGCGGCTCTTAGGCTGCAGTCTTGTCTCAGGCCCAGCCTTGAGTCCTGCTGGTGCCCACCAGTGTCCTTGCTGCCCTCTCCCTGGTGCACCCTGCCTTCCGGTCCCCCAGCACACACATCTGTGCACAGGTGTGCACACACAGCGAGAGGCCTTGAGCAGCACAGGCCAGACCAATCTCCTGTGTCCTTATGTGAGAGATGGTGACGGTGCCTTCACCGTGCAGGGCTGGGCTTGGGGTCACCTGGAGGTCATGGGACGCCTAGCCCCCAGTAGGTGCTCAGGACACACCATCTGTTTCTAGGGCTCCCTGCCCTGGGGCTCTGCCTGGAGCGGGGTGCTGACAGACTGGAATGTCACCAGAGACCTCTGAGCAGCTGCAGTAGACCCAGGGGGCTGGAGCCTCATGTAAGCACCCCTGCTGCAGCCTCTCCTCATCCTCTCGCTGATGCAGGAGGATGCAAGCTTCAGGCAGAGGCCATGGCCAGAGACAACAAGGAAGGGGCAGGAGGAAAAACGAAGTGGCCTAGAGCCTCCGGCCTGCACGGGGCAGCTGCCTGTCCCTTGGCCGGCCTTACCATCCTGGCTGCAGGCCCCGTACAGCTTGATGACATGTGGGTGGTTGACCTGCTTCAGGAGGTTGAACTCTGACAGCAGGTCCCGCAGCTCACTTGGGGAGGCGTTCTCTGAAATGCAGGTAAACAGAGCAGGTTGCAAGCCAATCCCTTCCAGAAGCCCCATCTGTGACCACCTTGGGTCTCCAACCTACATCATGATTCTGCACAGACCCCAGTTGTCTCCTTCCCAGACAGCCTCCCCAGGTTTAGACAAGGCCCTCAAAGACCCTGCTGCTCGGGGCTTCTCTCAGCCCATAGGATGGTCAAGAGCTGCCTCATCTGCGTCTGGAGATAATAACCCTGAGGAGCAAACTTCCTTATCAGCAGGCTCTTTCCCCAGAAACCCTCCTGGGACCAGGCTGTGTGTGTAAGTGGCTGCATTCCCCTGCAACTGCCATCTTTCAAGGACAGTGTGCACAGAGACCATCCTCATAAATCCCGGGAAGGTAAGGGGACTGTCCCGTGTCCTGAAACACCTGCTGACCAAGCACTCAACAGGAGAGTGAGGCCCTGGAGAAAGCTGAAGACGATGAGATTTCACAGAGGTGGCCTCTTAACACACTGAGCACGTGCATCCTGAGGGGGAGCAGAGCTGTGCCTGGACTCCCAGCAGGAGCCGAAGCCCAAGTAGAGAGATATGGAGTCAGAAGCTGGGCCTCATCAGGTCTCCTGGGGCAGCTGCCCCACAGCCCACTGCCCAGCTGGGCCACATCACCTCTTCTGGCTGCACGCTTGTCTGGAAGTGAGAGGGTAGCTGGGAGATAGGGAGTCAGGTCCCACATGTGGTGGCCTGAGGCTGGTCTCAGTGTGCCCCCCTTAGTGCCTGGATCTCCTGGGTGGCATGGAGAGACCCCAGTCTGAGGGCCTAAGTAAGCATTCAGAAGCACCCACTGGTTCAGGTGACCATTGTCACCATGGAGACCCACCTGCTGCACTAGAATTCTCATGTACATCTGCCAACTTGCACCCACTGCATGGTCACTGGAACCTTGGGCCACTGGGCCGTCTACCCACTCTGCTCAGAAACACCAGGGTTTGTGTGTGTGGGGTTGAGCATGTGCCCACTTAGAGCCAAACTTGTAGCATGACTGATCACAGGGCCCTCACTGAGGGCCACAGAGATTGGGCCAGGCAGGGCCCCAGGGCAGGGGCCAGTCCCTACAGGTGGCTTCTTCACCTGGACCGCAGGGGGACTTGGCTGAGAGGAATGAATGGGGCAGACTAGGGAGGGAGAGCTGTCAGTTCAAGGTCAAAAGGGCTTTTAATTTTATAAAAACTCAGATCTTTGCCTAATACTGATACAAAAGCAATACCACTCTAGAACCTTCCAAGCAGGGAAGTCCTTTTGCCCTGTTTGTCCAGGGACCACCCTGGCCCATGTCATCCAGAATGCAGCCCGTCAAGAATAGCAATGGAGGGCTCTGGAGAAGGCCCCAGGCTGGCTGCCAGCACCCTGCTTGTCAAGGGGGCTTCGTCCAGCCCTCAGGGCTCCTGCAGAGCCAACTGGGCACAGTGCGTGGACAGGTACCTTTCAGCATCTTCACGGCCACGGTTGTGTAACCTGCTTTGCCTTTCAGCCGGAAGGCTGTTGCCTTAACCACTTTTCCAAATTCGCCTTCTCCCAGAGTCTTCCCAAGAACCAAGTTCTTCCGAGGGAATTCCCACTTCGGATCCTCCTATGTGGGGTTGGGAGAAGAAGAATAAGAGAAGGGAGAAAGTTGGTGAGGGCAAGAGGAAAAGAAAATGACAAGGCTGGTAAATGAGCCTTGTAGACAGGCTCCAGTGTTGTTCAATGGTCACCTGAACCAGTGGGCAATGGGCACCCACCTACACTGAGGGCAGGACCCCACACCTTATGGGAAGACAGGTGCTGCCACAAAATGGCCTGGACTCTGGATGCCTGGACCTTTGATTGTCCCTGGTCTATTGAACATGCCCTGGGCCCTCCCAGAACTGTGTCCTCATCTCTTAAACAAGGGATTCAGGGCTTACCTGGTACCTGGTGGTACTCACATGGGAGTGGGGCCTCTTCCCTGAGAGTTAAGCCCAAGCCTCTGGTGCTGCCTCTGCTTTGGACACCAGGCCCATAAGACACTGACGTCCTATAGATTAGGCTCTAATCTGTCCTCTCTAGAGAGCTCCCGGGGCCCTGAGAGGACTGAATTGGCACCAGTGGCTCAAGCTGCCTCTTGGCCAAGGACCCCCAGCCATGGATGGAAGTGTCCAGGGAAAATTCCCTGTATGGTGCCCCAGAAAAGGTACCACTGGGAACCTCCATTCTGCCCTGTGGAAGAGGCTGTTCCTCCCATGGGACTGGCTGTTTCCCTGAACCTACCTCTACCTGCTCACCATGCACCCCTCTACCCACCCTGCCTTCCTGCTGAAATCTGACTCAGATTACTCTGGGATATCTTCCCAGACCCTACCCTGGCCCTGCATCCTTGAACTCTTGACTGCAGATGCTGAAACCTATCGGGAACCTTCTGTCCTGGTCCAGCACTGGGTGTCCATTGCCCCAACTCTCCCTGCAGCTGGGTGTGGGTGTGACCTGGGGGGTGCTGCTATGATGGGACCTGCCAGACTTGTCTGACCCACACAGATGACCCCACTGGGCTCCTCTGCCCTGCTGAGCAGAGCCATGTTTTCCAACACCCATGCACAGGTGTGTGTGTGCTTTCGTGGGCAGAGGCAGCCTCCTCCCGGCACTGTGTCCAGGGTCCTTGCCGGCCAGCTGCTGGGCAACCTGGTGTTGCCTCAAATTCCCCAGGAACCCACAGTTAGGGTCAGAGCTGACAACATCAACACTGTTATGCTGGTGTCCTCACCTCCACACTGCACTGGATAAGTGTTCACTGCATGTGGAAGCCGCGGTAAGTATGTGTAGATAGTAACTTGATCCTCTTAAAAGACATTAAAATTTCTCCCCACTTTATATAAGAGACAACTAAGGTCAAGCAGTTGAGTGATGTGTTCTTAGAGTTGGTCGGGGTAGCCCTTGGGCCGCAGGCTGGGCTCTGGCTTCTCTGTGCTGTGGGCACAAGCTGCTGTGGGCCGAGGGTGGTGTGTGTTCACTTGCACAACAGCTCACAGGCACTGCCCTTCTGGTGCATCTCACCATAAACTGCCTAGGTTTATAAAGGACTCAAATGGCTCATTCCATAGGCCTGCTGTGGAGGCTGAGATGCTTCCTGGGACAGGGGTCACAGACCCCCTGTCTGCTAAGCAACTAGAACTAGGAAAGCCAGGACGGAGGCCACAGTGTCTGCCACAGCTGGGAATGGCTTCCACGGCCCAGACCCTCACGAAGGGTGAGAACCCTTGAGTAGTACCTCCTGCAAGCCCCAGCCACCTCCCAGCCCTGGCTGGGTACTGCCAAAGGCCCTGTGACTCCCGAACTTCCTGCTCGGAGACCCCTGTCAAGGTGCACACTCTGCAATGCTTGCTGCCAGGCCTTGGGGGTGGAGCTTCTGTTCACATGCACCCTCAGCTCTGAGTGTTCTCAGGGCCTCCTAGAGCCTGGCTTCCAGCTTCTCGGCACCGACCAGCAGGGATACAGAAGGATGGCAGGGTGACAGAGGGCCTGGCCAGGACAGGGGCTCTCAGAACCATAAGGACTGCAGGCCCAGGCTCTCCCATGGAGAAGGTGGGTTGGAGCCCACCAGCTCTGGCTGGCACTCTCCATCAGCCAGCCGGTTACAGTCCTGGGGCCTGCCTCCTCCACAGCTGGCCCAGAGGCCCCATGGCACCCCCTCTTTCCACTCCACAAATGAACTCCCCTCCCCACTGTGGCCACCCTGGTCCAGCCCCTGCCTGCTGCCATCGCTAGCCTGGACGAGGACAGTGCCTCATCACAGGCCTCCCACTTTTCTTTTTTAATGTTTATATACTTTTGAGAGAAAGACAGACAGAGCATGAGCCAGAGAGGTGCAAAGAGAGAGAGGGAGACACAAAATACAAAGCAGGCTCCAGGCGGGGCTCAAATTCCCGATCCGTGAGATCATGACTGAGCCACCAAGATGCCCCAAGATGCTCCTACCTCTGCACTCACCCCAGGGACTCCCCAGCAGAGCAGCTGGCAAAAATGAAGGCAGAATATGGGCCTCCTCTGCGGAATCCCCAACCCCCAGGGCCCCACGCTCTGGGAATAAAATCCACACTCCTCCTCAGGGCCTCCCCGCAGCCCTTGGGGCATCTGGAGGACAGTTCCCTATCAGGCATGGCAGGGCCCACCCTCCCAAATCCCAGTCCATCTAAACGAGCACCCATCACTCTCCACTCTGCCAAACTGCCTCCATGTCCTCTGCCCTCCCTGGAAGGCAGCTCTGGGGAGGCTGGGGGCTTGCTTGTGATGTCCTCCTGGTGGGTGAGGATGCATTAGCCACCTGTGGGCTACAGGATGCGGCACTAGGGAGCTGTGTCTGCCCCTCCCCGCGCCTCCCAGCTTCCCCAGGCCAGAGGCGTCTGCCATCCGCAGGGCCTCCAGGAGGGCTGCCTCCCAGGCAGAGGCCCTGCTTGGAGCCTCACCGGGATCTTGAAGGCGTCCACAGAGACCTGGTTCTCCATGGAGTCCATTGAGGGCCGGCGGGCACCTGACGAGGAGTAGCTGACCGGGAAGGCCTGGGCGGGCCGGCGGAAGGTCATCTCGGCAGAGGCGATGGGTGGCTTGTTGGCGTTCTTGTGGTAGCGGTGAATGCAGAAGGTGGAGAGCAGCATGGAGACAACGAAGGAGAAGAGCACGGCGGCCGCGATCACCGTGCGGCAGAGCTCGTCACACAGCGGCTCTGCGGGCAGGGGTGGCCGTGAGGGACAGTGCTCTGCGAGGGTGCCCTGGTACCAGCGGGTGCTGGCACGGCGTGTCCACAGCAGCTGGAGGACTGCTGTGACAAGCTGAGCGGCCTGGCAAGTGTGGTGGCACGAAAACATGAGCATCATGCAGACACATGGTACTGACTGTTTGTAGGTACTGTGGGGGGTGTGCTATCACCCTCCTACTGAAGGGCCAGTTGGCCCAGGGGGTGTAAGCAGTCTGGCCGAGGCCACACAGCAGAGGGAGTGTATGCACAGGGCCAGCTGTGGGACGCTGCACCAAAGCCAGCCGGAGGGCTGGCGGGGAGGCAGAGCTCCTTTGCTGTGTTCCCAGTGTATTCCTTATTTTCTTTATAAAACTGGGAGAGGGAAAGAAAGTGGCTCAGGGCCTACAACTCAAATACGAGACAAACATCCCTGGGCCCAGGCAGGAGAGCTCCCTGTGTGCTTAGGCCCATGCTGCCCACTGGCACCTGCTGGCCCAGAAGGAGCATCTGGAGGCTACAGCTGGGAGGGTGTGGTTCCAGTCAGATGGTGCCATGGGCCCAGAGAAGGCTCTGCCCAAGGACAAAGTGAACAGATGCAGAGTTACTTGGTGGAAGAACCTTCCAACTCCATCTTTACCATAAAACTTTGGGCCAGAAGTCACTCTGTAGAGGCCCTGACCTAGATGCATCTGCACAGACGGGAGGCCCAGAGGGAAGGAGGTTGGTCTTTTGGGGTTTCACTTGCCTTCCTGTACTATCCTCCCTGGCTCGCTGGGGCTCAGGGAGGTATGGGAGCCTGCCCTGCATATGGCCCCCGCAGTGCCCCCCACCCACTAACCTTGGCTGTCTTCAGGTTCACAGAAGCACTTCTTCTCCTCGGGGAAACAGTTGCAGATACCGAAGCCAGCTTTAATCCCCCAGCGCTCCCCTGGCTCGTGCCCACCAATGATGTTGCCGCCGCCTGGTGACAGATGTAGCCCACTAAGCCTCCTGGTGTGGCCAGACAAACCAGGACTATCCAGGAAGGAGCATGAGCAGTCCCTCCCCACATGATGTCAGCATATTAGGCTGGGGTTGGGGTGGGTGGGAGACGTGGGGGTTGTGGGGGGTTGGAGGGGTAGTGAGCTCTGAAGTCTGGGTTACCTGGGCAGGAATCAGCATGGCCTGCCCCCAATCAGTTCTCTGGTTCCAGCAGGTAGGAGGAGGACCCCCCGCCCCCCAGACTGTCCAGGGCCCTCACTGAGGTCCACGCATAGTTACTTTTCAGAAGCAGACAAGAGGCAGCAGGAAGCCAGGACATTCAGGGGTTGGGAGTACCCATGTGAGTTGCCCAGGGAGACACTGGAGAGTGTTGGTCCAGGCACCAGTCTCCAGAGGTTTCTTTTGGGGAGTGGGAGGGGGGTGTAGAGCCCTTTGTGCGAACAAAATGTTGGAAAAAGCCTTGGCACATAAAATCCAGGAATGAGGCTTGTCTGGCTGAAGTGCAGGTGGGAGTCCAAGACTCTCCCACTGGCTACTCCCATCCACCCTGGGCCCCTGAACTTGCAGGCCCAGTAGTTGCTTACGGAGGCAGTCCTGGGGGCAGATGTTGACATTTCTGCTCTCCACAGCATCACAGTGGCCGTCGGGGCAGGTCTTGATGCTGGGGGAGCAGGTGGAGAAGTTCCTGGTAATTCCTACGACACACAGCAGGCTGGTCACTACCACATGGTCAGACTGCCAGAGCCAGAAGGGCGGCACCCCAGGGCTCCCAGGCCAACCCTGTCCCTTCCAAAGGAGCAAACTGACGCCCAAGCAGAGAATCCGTGAGTGGGATCCTTGGGGTGGTGGGCACAGCTCAGAGTTGGCTGCTATACCCAAGCCCTACTGCCTGGGGCCACACCCCAACTTTGGGCCAGCTCTTCCAAAACCCAAGGAGACTCGTGGTCCCATGGCCTGAATGTCCTTGTGCCACCCACACTCTGCACTGACGCTCACCCTCTCCTGACATCACGAACCACAAATGGGGGCAAAGCTCTAGAGAACACATGTGGAGTGGGGAGGGCCATCACAGTGGCCAGGAGGGCCCACATGGACCCCATTTGCACACAGCCACCATTACCCCTCTCAACCCTGGCTCTGCATGGGGCCTACCTTTGCCATCTCCCTGTCTCCACTCGCACCTGCCCGTCAAAGAGCCCAGGCCGCCGCATTCCTCACACTCAGGGCGTCTCTTGCTGACTGCACAGGACAGGGGACAGCCTGGCTCCTCAGCCACATCTGGGGGTGGCAGAAAGCTGGTCATAGGGGGCTGGCCTAGGCGCAGGGTCCCGCCAGCATCCAGGGGCAGAGGGAAGCACTGGCCAAGCCTCTCATGGGTGAGCCCAGAGGGGTGGGGATGCCTCTGCATCAGGGCACAGGGCAGTGATGGGGCCCGTTGAGGAAGTGGGGTGGCACCATGGTCACAGCAAGGGGTGGGGCAGCTACTGGGCTGGGATAAGTATAGAAGGAGGATGTGATGTGGGTAGACTCAGCCAAAACTACACATGCACAGTTAAACTTGAATTTCAGAGAAAAAGTGAATATTTGCTTTATTGTAAGTACATCCCTAACACTGCATCGACATACTTGGAAGTCTGCAAAGGTTGGGTGGGACATACTTAGAACAGAAAATCGCTCATTGCTTACCTGAAATTTACATCTCACCAGGGTCCTGTATTTTATCCTATAGCAAGGGCATGTATAGAATGCGCTGACAGTGGTGATGGGGAATAGCGACCATTTACTACTCAGTCCCTCTGGGCTAAGCTGTTTTATACTTTATCCTTGTCACCCTTCCAGCTTGGCTATGCAGCGTGCACTCTCATTTTCATTTTATAGGGAAGGAGACTCAGGCTCAGGGGCACTGTCATTAGGTGAAGGGGGCAGGCCCAGGCCCCTTCTGCGTGGGGGATGCCCGTGGCTCTACCACACCCTGCCCGTCCCGATCCTCCACGGGCCCTGGCACTCACATGTCCCCTCCACGGTGACGACCAGCAGGGCCTGGGTCTGCCTGCGGGTTGGCCGGTCAGCAGCCACCACAGTGTATCGGAGTTGAGAGCAATCCAGCCGCTGCAGAGCTTCCGTGTCATTGACGAAAAGGTTCCCTGTGGTGTCCTCGGCTGAGGTGACCACCCCCAGGACACTGCAGTTGGTGCTGGAGAGCTGCAGCCTGTATTGCACGTGGATGCCGCTGAACTCCTGGCAATTTTCCACACAGACTTTCCCGATCTAGGCATGGGGCACAGGAAACGCCTCAGCTGGGCTGGGCACTGGCCTGTGTTGGTGACAGCCTGAGTCCTGGAATAGCCCCCTACAGGGTCCAGGGATGACAGACCTTCCCTCAAGTCCCTGCACACCTTTGGAACCTGCAGACCCATCCACCTGCCTGGCCCTCCCCTGCCCTGCCCATCACACCACCACCTGCCCCTTGCTCCTGGGGGCCAGAAGCAGAACTCAGAGCCCTGCCTCCAGACAGATGTCCACTCTCCCATCTCCTCTAGGCACGAAGGCTGACTGCATCGCTCCACCTCCCCTCCCTCACTGCTTCTGGCCAGGCCAGGTTTGTTCCAGGGGCCACCAACTGCCATCCTCAGTGCATGTGGCTGGGGTACTCCAGGTGACCTGCCTGGTCAGTCAGGGCACCGTGCCCAGGCCACATGATTCTGCCTGTCTCACGTGAGACCGTTCCTGGCACTCTGGCTGGAACGCCTGGAAAGAGGGGATGCTTCTCCAGGGGATGCTAGGCAGGCAGTGCCGTTGCTGGGGCCCGGTGCTGGGCGGCTGGAACTCTCCTTCTTACCCCTTGGCCACTTCAGTTAGAATTAGACAGAGGTTTCAGTGGTTAAAACCAGAAGCTCTGACGAGTCAAGGCTGGGGGACAGAGGGCAGGGTGGAGCCTGGCCTGCAGCCACTTAGCAGGTGTTCGCTCAGCCCTGCTCAGGCCCAAGGCACAGCCAGTTCCTCCACACCCAGGCCCAAAAGCACAACAAAACTATGACCTCTTAGATCTCCCAGCACACCCCCACATAAAACCTGCTTACTTCCACTCTCCCCTGTGGTCCTCAAAATTGCCCAAGGTCACTATCCTCAACTTAACAATCATAAAGACTGGGGAGGGGGGTGAAAGATCATAGTGAGTTTGAGGCTAGATCGGGACTCAGGTCCCTCTGATCTCAAGTTTGCCGGAGCACAGGTGACATACCTCTTGCGGTGCTTGCTTCCATTTGGCACCCCCTCAGAGACCCCTCGGACCCCTCTGCCTTGTCACCTCCCACCATCCTTGACCTCTGCTTCCATGGAAAGCCTGGGGGTGCATGGCAGGTCAAGGAGCTTGGATATGTCCAAGGGTGGGGTCCTTTGTGTGCTGGGCCTGGGTGGCTGTCAGGAGTGGAGGGTGCATGGGAGCCAACAACAGAAATGCAGACAACTGGAGACGGCCTTAAACATGACACTCTGAAGAGGATGTATCTGAAGCTGCTCCATTAGGAAAGAGCAGTATGTTAAGTCTCATGCCTGCTCTAACGGCAAGTAAAATTACAAACATCCTTAAGAGAAACATTCTAGGTAGAACTATACTAAAATGCTAAATACTAGTTAATAAGGAGAGAAAGGGTCTCCCTGTCCTTCCTCTTTTTTAGCGGATACTTACCACTTTATGTTTTTTTTCCACCTCTAATTGTTATTTTTCAATGACAAATGAAAGATAAGCTATAGTAAACGCACTTGCAGAAGGCAAAGCGGAAGCGCTCCCCACCTTTCCCGGCAGAGGGCACCACTGTTAACTGCTGCCTGCATTCACACACTTTAAAATTTCTAATCAATGAAAATTTGTTTTTGCACAGTCACGGGAGGCCAGTATCTTTACAAATCACTTTTCACTTAATAATCCACCAGGAACATCTTTCCAAGTCAGCCTACGAAGAGTTAGCTGGCATTGCTTTCACAGTAGGACAAAATATGTTTTAAAAGTAACAAGGAGGGAGAGGGCTACAAGTTGCCCACTAGCCCTGCCCCTGTGATTCTGTCCACTCTGCCACGGCCCCAGCCTCCCTGGCCCTGTGCCCATGGCTCCCCCGGGCCACTCTGTGTAAGTGCTAGGCCAGGGAGGGAGTGTCTCTCAACACCAGCCCTGCTTGCAATCTGTTAAACAGAGTGCCCCACCCTGGGGGTCCTGGGTCCCTCCATGCCCCTCCCGAGGTAGGCACTGGGCTGTGGGCTCACCTGGGCAAAGCGGCGGGCCCGCCTGCTCACGGTGAAGGAGTAGGTGCTGGGCAAGTGCAAGCTGACAGGTCGCACGGACACGTTGAAGTGGAGGAGGACGACGCCCTCCCCGGGGCCCTGGAAGTCCGAGTCATTGACCAGCACGGTCAGCTGCAGGGAGCGGTTCTCCGAGATGGGGAGGCTCCGGTTGAGAACCAGCCCTGTGGGTGGGGGCACGGTGATGACCGCTGGGGCGCACCGCCCTGTGCCACCGCGTGCCGCCTCCCAGCCATGTCCCAGGTACATACACACGTGGGCAAATACAGATTTCCATACAGAGGGTGCACGGATAACAGACGTGGCTAAGTCAGAACCACTGTTTAAATGTAACCATTGTGCTGAGCTGGAAGCTGAGAAAATCCTCAGCTGGGAGGTAACCTGTGTGTGTGGTACCTGTATGTGTGTGTTATGGGGTGGCTGTGTGTGTTGTGTATAGGGTATACGGGTGTACATGTGGTAGTACAGGGTATGTGTGTGGAGTGTGTACATGTGGAGTATCTATGTGTGGGTGTACACGAGGTAAGATCTACCACCACTGAGGCCCTGGGAAAACCATACCGGCCTCCATTCCCCCAGAGAACTCCTGACTGCAAGCAGCTTTGAGTGGAGTTCTGGACTGCACAGCCCCCCTGGGCTCGGAGCCTGCACAGTTCTGTGCACCTGTTGAATGGCATGGCTGTGGTTCGCTTCACAGCGCCACAGGCAGATGAAGGTCGGGAGGTTTTGGTACACAGGGTATTTAGAGGGAGTGAGCCGGGGCAAGGACGACACTTCCCTTTGTACAGGGCAGGAGACCTTCAGGCTCAGTGTGGGTGGGGAGGATGAGAAACACACAGGATCAGGCCAGGCAGAACGGGGTAAAGGGATCAGCGATTCTGGGTTGGCCCAGAAGCAGATCCCAAAGCAAGGATTGAAGAGCAACTGGGGTACTTGGAAGGTGATCCCAGAAAACATGGGCAGGAGGGTGGGGGGAGGCAAGGCAGCTGATGAAGATGTCTCATCTTGCAAGTGAGCATCCAGCAGGCCCCTGGAGCTCAGCCCTGTGGGACATCCCAGGAGCTGGACAGGACAATCTTTGTAGGATCCTCTGGCTCATGCACACAGAGCTGCTACTGGATACTAACCTCTGTCAGTAGAGGGTTATGGGGACTAAGGAAAAATAATCCCCAGGTACTTGGGCATCTTGGAGGCAGTAGACACCAGGAGTCAGAGGAAGGCCTCAAGAAACGACGTATTTGTTTGTAGTGGGAAGTGAACCCTGGCATGGTCAGCATGGGGAAGACTGGGAAGGTCCTGCCAAGGTCTGCCACGCGGCAGTTCAGTGAGAGAAGAAAGCCTGTAAAACCCCACCAGGGTGGCCAAGGTGAGCCCAGCAGACACAAGGAAGGGCTGGGCGGAGTAGAAGGATCGTTATCCTAGGACTCAGAGGACAGGTGTCTGTGTGTGTAGGGCGCTGCAAGAGTGGCATTCCCTAGGGGGCCCAGCCAGGCCACGCCTGGCCCCTCTTACTGTAGTCATGCACAGTTGCCCGCACAAAGCTGCCGTTGGCCTGGGCCAAGGTCTCGTTGGGTGCGTGCTCGATACGGAATGTCTGGAGGGCCCAGGCATCCCCGGAGAGTAGCGTGTTTGTGTATCGCTTCAGGAGCTCCCCCGATGCTGGTACTACGTCTGCATCGAAGACACGTATTTTGGCCACCACAGTGCCCTGCAGAAAGTAGGGGGTGCCAGTCAGAGCTGGGGAGGGGGACCCCTCGGAGACCCTGTAAGCCTGAGACTTCAGGAGGGCATGTGCACCACAGTTGGACCAAATGTGCAGTCAGAGCCAGCTCTAAGGACACACTGCCCTGGGTTCAAGTTCCCATAGGGTCCCTTGCCAATCTGGCCCAGTCACCCTCCCTGGGCCACTGTGCCTCACTTGTGCAACAGGTGTGACAGACATCTACAGATTTCCCATAAGAGTGGATTAGAGCAGATGCCCAAGTGCTTTGCTGACAGGCTTCACCCAGGTATCCACAGAGCACAGCAAGCGGGACCCCACAGGGTGGAGTTAGCTCACTGTCACCTAGTGATAGATGGCAGAGCCAGATCCAAGCCCAGGCATACACCAGAATGTTCTCTTCCAAGGACCTTCTATGTATCAGGCTGGAGGGAATCATGAGGAGAGTTCTGAGCAGTCACAGGGCATCTCTGCTTTCACTGCTAACCAGACTCCTTGCTGTCACCCCCAAGGCAGCCCTTCCAAGTTCATGCGACCTTTACCAACAAGATGCGGTTTCCTCCCACCGGTCCATCCACCGCTTGGGGTGCCCAGGGAGGCAAGTGACAACACATTTCCCATTGAGCCCTTGGCCAGCCGGCTGCAGGACGGCCCACTGCCCAGCAGGTGGCAGTCACGCTCCACCTGCATGGAGGTGGATGGGCAGTGTGGGCGGTGCTGCACTGGGAGAGGCACTTGCCAGTTTTTCTGCACTCGGGGGCTCCCCTCCATGAGCCTCTATGGCCCTCCAGTGACAGCTGACATGGCGGAAGGGAGTACCCTTCTGGCAGCCATCCTCTCCTACTCAGGGAAGCACCGCTGTGCCCCCGTCCAAAGGCACAGGGATACCCCTGGCCTTGATGCCGCCCTTGGCTTTAACAGCCTGGTCAGACACAGGCTAGGCATTCAGGGTGCCCAGACACTCATCAGGGGACAGCTAGGCTGACCTCCCGTCTCCTCCTCAGCTACCCTCGGGACAGGTGGAAAGCCCCAACAGACAGCTGGATGAACAAATAAAAGATGGACAGTTAGATGGATGGTCAGCCACACAGCTGGATGGACAGCTTCATAGACCAAGGAATAAATGGTGGACAGAAGGGCAGATGGACGGCAGAAAACAGACAAGCACAAGGGCAGCAGGCAGGCACCTCCTTCCTCTTGAACTCCACCACAGCGCTGGCGGTGTCGAAGCCCCCAAGGAAGGTGGGCGCCGAGTCATCCTCATCATACACGGTCACAGGGAAGGGCACCATCACCACCTCCTCCTTGCGTGCGCCGACACGCACTGTGCACGCAGCCACCAGCTCATACTTCTCTCGCAGCTCGCGGTCCAGGGGCCAGCGTGTGCTCACCTCCAGGCAGTCCCGGGTGCAATGGAAGGGCAGGTTCTCACCTGCGCACCAAGCAGACCAGGAATCCCAACATGACTCTGGGGTAGGGAAGGAGGCAGGGTGAGGTGGCTTTTTCAGGGGCCCCGCCGGATGGCAGGGGAGGTTGGCTCTGTGGGTCAGAGCTGGGGAGCATGCCGGCCCACTCTATGCTCCTCTTCCTCTTCCTCCTCCTCCTCGGCTCTAGCGGTGGTGGGTACAGAATTCAAGCACCGGTTTGCAGTGATGACTGTGCTCAAACAGGCTTTCCTGTGCCTGCCACCTTCACTTGTGCTGATGGGGAGGCGTGGGAACCAGAAGGCCTGCGTCAGGTCCTCACCCTGATAACCTAGGGAGGGATGCTCACCCTACTTGCCCAACCCCCAACCTTGCCTCTCTAGGGGTGGGCGGTGGTGGGAACAGCTGTTATCTCTGGCTGTGTGATCCCAGACCAGTCATTCTGCCTCTCCGTGACTCTGTTTCCTCACCAGGAGATGGGATGATGAAGGCTACGTGCCTGCCCCTCACCAGGCACTGCTGCATGGCCAGTGACTTACGTATCTTCCTGCCACCTGGTGAGGGGAGGGCCAGTCATCGTGGTACACTCTTCAGCCCAAGCCTGTCCTGAAATTCATCCTCCAGGAATAACTCAGAAAAGGGGAAATGCTGCAGGCTTGAAGGTCAACACTGAGTGCCCCCACAGCCAACCAGGAAGGGTTAGGCCATCTCCATTTGGTGGGGAATCAAACGCCCCTCCCCTCTCCTCAGAGCCACATAGTACATGTGGATTACATGTGGGAAATGCTTATCATATAATGTTTCTCTCTAATGTTTACAGTTACAAAAAACATGCTCAATAAAATTTAATTATGTAATCTTTATGAGGAGGGCAGCATGCTAAACCTGATGTTTGGCTAACAATCCTGCGCAAACACATCATCCCTGATGCGGGGCAACGTGAGGATGCTGGGGTAGGGGATGGTTACTTTTCTTACCTTATTGAGATTTTCTGTCACATCATTACCTCATTACCGTGTGCATGCACATGCGTGGTAAACCTGGCATGAAGACAGGTTCCACTTACTAGCACTCTACCTTCTGGGTCCCAGTTCTTCGTGCTGCCCACCGGAGGTCTGCTCAGGTGCCCCGTCTCACCTCCACAGGGACTCACCCCTGTCCCCACCTCCGGCCTCCCCAGGGCTATCTTGTGGTAAAGTCCGCTGCTTAGGCAGAATCCTGGAGCCACACTAGCTCCCCCTTCCCCTCAACACCCACATCTAACTCTTCAAGAAATCCTGCTGGGTCTCCTTCAAACATGCCCGGAAGCTGACTGCTTTTCGCTGCCCCGTGGCTTTCACGATTCTTCCAGTCTCCAACCTCCTGCTCAGGGATGTCGGGTAGCCTCCTAACTGTTTCCCCGCTTCTACCCCCCACTGCCCCATACCAAATCATTCCTAGCACAGCAGCCAGAATAATCCTTTAGAGGGAAGTCGAGTCTTGTCAGTGCCACCCATCCTCTACAAGCCTTCATGACTCCCCAGTCCCTCAAGGGGACCCTCAAGAATTTCTCTGTTCCCATGCACCTGCACTGTCCCGTCACTCACTCCACTCCAGCTGTACAGCGGCTCCACTGCAGCGATCTCACAGGGGCCAGCCCAGCTTGCCTGGTGCCCTCCCACCTTTGCCCCAGCTCTCCCTTCCCCCGCCACGAGATTTAAGACCGCAGTCTCCACCCCTCTACATCCTTGGAGCTTTACTTCCCACCTAGCACCTTCCAGAGGCCACCCTATTTCCTTGGCATGTGCATGGTCTCCATCTCCCAGGGGAAAGGAGGCTGCAGGCAGGCAGGATTTTGACCTATTTAGTTCACTGTCACATCCTCAGCCCCTAGTACAGTACCTGGTCCGGGACAGACATACAAGAATTATTTCTGGAATACTAAATGAAGGGGTGGGGTGGTGGCAGAGAGTACACCAGATAGATGGCCCATGTCAAGGGCTGGCGGTCCTGTGTCCGGCACACAGCAGGCACCGAGGATGGCCCTCCGAGACCAGCACTCACCTTCTAGGAGCCTGTAGGCCACGCTGATGTTGGGGCAGAGGAACTGCACAGGCAGCAGGCGGAACTGGTGGAAAGTGCCAGGAGGCCTATTCTCTCTGATGCGGAAGGAGACGCCTGTCTCAGGAAAGCAGAGCTCCCGGGGTTTGAGCGAACCACAAGCCGGGAAGGAAGTGTTGACAAAGGAGAAGTATACACGGGCACAGCCTGGCCATTGGCACTCGCCCTCACGCTGGGACGTGGGTGACAGGAAGACCTGGAGGTAGATGGTGAGCACAGGGAAGCCGCCATCTGCGGAGAGAGATGGGGCATCAGCCACATCTACAGGGAGCGGGAAGGGAACGGAGCGGGGAAGCGACAGTTGTTCTAGGGCTAGTGTAAAGCCCAGTCCTTACTGTTGTCCACAGGGTTCCACTGGGCTCTCTGCCCTGGCTGCCACCTTCTGCTTGCTCCCCACTTCCCTGGACCTGGGGTATGTCTCTGCTTCGGGGTCCTATGGTTCTGCTCCCTCTGCCTGGAGGTGCCTCACAGCCCACCTCTCTTGTCATTCAGGTCTCAGCTCAAATCCCATTCCTCAGGTGCCCTGAGCACTGGGGTGTATTGTTCCCTTGATGTCTCCCCACCAGCCTTCATCACATCATTGCTCCTCCCAGAGGGTGCCCTGAGCCCGGGTCTAGCACCAGGTAGAGAGCCTCCCCAGGCTGGCTCCTACTGCATGCAGCAATCAGCAGTCCACTCCCTTCTACGCCCTCCTCAAGGACTTGCATCGTGGAGCCGCCTCTGCAGGGACATCCCCCTGGACAGACTCCCCCAGCACCTGGAGGGAGAACTCCCAGCAAACTCCATTATGGAGGCTCTTTCTCCAACAAGGTCTGGATCTCTCTGCCAGAGTGGCAGGGACTCTTCCGGGGCCCTCTCTCTCAGCCCTAGGTTAGTGCCCCCCGCCCCCCCCATTGCTTCTTCCCATAGTCATTAGAGTTCTCTTTGCTTCTTACCAGCCTGTCCTTTGTTGCTTCAATCCTGGGTTGTAGTTATTCATTCTCTAAACAAACTTGCCCTGTTCAAGTTACTATGTGGCTTCTCTCCTGACTGGACTTAACAGGTACAACCATGAACAGAACAGGCCTCCTATGAAAAGTGGACCCTTGGCAAATTCCACTCTGGCCTCTGCCCCTGGAGCCCTAGTTCAAGTTCCCCAGAGGGGCTTGGGATGAACATGGCAGCGGCTAAGTGCGAGCAGAACTGAGACCCATCTCAGATGCCACCTCCTCCAGAACTGGGGGTACCCGGTGGGGGGCTCTGTCACGTGACCCTGGCTTTACCTGGCAGACAGGGGTGCAATCATTCCACCCCTGCTGGGCAGTGCCGCCCACTCTGCGTGTATAGGCATGCCACCTGCCTCTTGCCCGTATGAGGGGGCGCAGGGCTGGTGTGAGCGTGCAGCGAGGCCATGTCTTCGGAGATGCCTGGAGGTAGGGAGTTACTGGGTATGTGAACACCACTTTGTGGCACAAGGCAGAGCTGCTCCACCCCCCAGTACCACGGTCACGTGTGGCCTCCACTCTGCTCTGCCCCCTGCTCTGAGGAGCTGGCCAGGCCTTCCTTCCACGCCACTTCCCTCCCCAGCACCAGGCTCGCGTCCCCACCAGGGACCCAGGGCAGCTTGCTGTGGATGGGAAGACAAGCTTTCTACAGAACTACTCATTCTCCAGGAAGTTCCAGATCATCTGCTAAATCAAAAACCTTCTGATTTTTTTAGGCTCTTTTAACCCCTCTCTCATAACCCCAAATCCTGATCGCCCAACTGGAAAAGGCATCTAAGTCCAGCATGGAAAGAGCACCCAATCCTTCCCAGGGATTCTCCAAAATCCCAACAGACTGAGGAAGGACTGGGCCCGAGGGTCATGAGCGGCTCCCAAACACGTCCAGGTACCCTGGCCTGGCTGGATGCAGAGGCAGGCCAGCCTCACCTCACCCTTCACTCCGACACAACAGGAACTGCATAGCAACCGCCCTCTGGAGCCTCCGTGTGGGGGTGGGAGGTGGGCTGTGGGAGGAGGAGACAGGCTGGGGGTTAGCGGCTCCCTTACTGCGGACGCTGAGCTTCTCCCAGGCACTGTGATCCAGGCTCCGGTTAAGGTAGAGAAGGCCAGTGTCCTCCTCGATGCGGATCCAGTCGTTCTCATGCAGCCTTGCACGGTAGGCGAGGCCGTAGAGATGCTGGCCCAGGCGGAAGCTGGGCACCTCCTCGGGCACGTCCCGCAGGGCATGGACGTAGAGCAGGGGCATGCCGGCCGGCTGGTCCACGTACAGTTTCTCCCAGTAAGCATCCCTGGAGAAGTAGAGTCCCAGTGGAGCTGCAGAAGGCAGGGAAGCACGTGAGGGAGGGAGGGCGATGGCCGTGGCCAGAGCAAGCGTCGCAGGCAGACCAGCATTCCCCAGCAGCTTTATTTCACACCTTGGTAAAAGCTTCTTTAAATTTACTAATTTAAAATTCCAATCCAGCATAAGGAATACAGGCAAAATCAGATCCAGGTAAGTCTCCTCATTCTTAAATTGTAAGAAAGAGATATCATCCTCCATAATTTATAGGATTTGAGTCTTTCATGCAGAAATAAATAAATAAATAATAAAACTCTGATCTTAGTAGGACTTTCTCACCTGTAGTCCTAATAACATCAGCACACAACTATCGATCTGTGTAGCTAAACACAAGCTGAAAATGGACTGCCTTAAAACGGAAAAGGAAAATAGAGGAGGAGGAAGCCGTATAAGACAACTGTGAAATCATTCTCAATTACCCAAGTTTGTTAAGTATGTGAACCGCACAGAGCTGGGAGTTCACACTCCCCAAGTTTCTCAGCAAATCACCTGGATCTGGAGGTTTCTTTCTTTCTTTCTTTTTAAATTTTTTAACGTTTATTCATTTTTGAGAGAGACAGAGTGCAAGCAGGGAAGGGGCAGAGAGAGAAGGGAGACAGAATCTGAAGCAGGCTCCAGCCGCTGAGCTGTCAGCACAGAGCCTGACGCGGGGCTTGAACCCACAAACCATGACATTGTGACCTGAGCCGAAGCCAGACACTTAACCGACTGAACCACCTAGGTGCCTCCGGATCCAGAGTTTTCAAGTATACAAGATGATGTCAGATAAGCAGGGCTGGCAATAGTCACCAAAAATGAACCAGGGCACTTTATAAGAGAAACCTTTTTTTTTTTTTAATATTTTTATTTATTTCTAGGAGAGAGAGAGAGAGAGAGAGAGAGAGAGAGAGACAGCGTGAGTAGGGGAGGGTCAGAGAGAGAGGGAGTCACAGACTCTGAAATAGGCTCCAGGCTCTGAGCTGGCAGTCAGCACAGAGCCCGATGCGGGGCTTGAACCCACGAACCACGAGATCATGGCCCAAGTGAAAGTCGGACGCTTAACCAACTAAGCCACCTAGGTGTCCCAAGAGAAATCTTTATCTAAAGTTAAACATACTACTACCACTGGGCCCAGAAATCTTACTGAATTCATCCAAGAGAAATGAAAACATATGTCCATCAAATGACTTATTCACAAATGGTAGGGTTATTCCATTCACACAGCCGAGAACTGGAAACAGCCCAGATGCCCTTCAACGGGTGAGTGGATAAGCAAAAAGTGGTTTTCACACCACAGATTCCTATGCAGCAACAAAAAGGGATGAACTATCAATATACACCACGGCCTGGAAGGCTCTCACAGACCTCATTATGCCAAGTGGAGGAAGCCAGGCACAAAAGAATATACATGGCAGGATTCTAGGCTAATTTCAGGTGACAGAAAGTAGCCTGGCTACCTGCTTAGGGGCAGGAGGAGACAAAAGACTGGGAAGGGCAGGAAGGAACATTCTGGGGAATGTAAAGGTTCCACATCCTGACAGCAGTGTGGGTCACATGGGCACATACATTTGCGGCCAATGTACAGCTGAGAGTTGTGCATTTCAACTTCTGTCAATTTTCCCTGATCACCTGATCACCAAGGGGCTGTGGAAAGAGCTGTGGTTGCCATGAGGAAGAGGCCTTGTTGGCTAAGTCCATGTTGAATAAGCTCACCATTCTGCTGACTTTGTGTATGTTCAACATTTTTCATAATAAAAAGTTTTTAAAAATAGTAAGAACTTTCAAGGAGGTGGATAAATAGGCAACGATGTTTAAAAACCACTAAAGCCCTGAAAATACTCTACAATGCATAGAAACTTCCCAGCACACAACACAAACATTAGAACTATTCATGCACTTGTAGCCAATTTCTCTCTTTTTTTAATGTTTATTTATTTTGGGTGGGGGGAGACAGAGGATCCGAAGCGGGCTCCGTGCTGACAGACAGCAGAGAGCCCAATATGATGTGACGCGGGGCTCTAACGCTAAGATCATGACCTGAGCTGAAGTCAGATGCTTAACTGAATGAGTCACGCAGGTGCCTTGACAATGTCTCTTTTCAATCAGCTCGTTTCCATCGGACCCCACTTTTCTCGCAGCTCTCAGGGTGAGCAGCCAGGCCAGTCTGCTGCCAGCAGAGGGCACCCCGCTACTGCCTGGGCCCTCAAGGACACGTTTGGGTGTGGGAAGCAAGCAAGTGCCAACTGGAGTCGGGTGAAAACAGGTAAACCCCTTGCGGCCCTCCATCCTGAAGTGGTAAGACAGTAAGCAAGCAGGAGGGCTGCCCGCACCATGGAATGTTCTCCAGGATGATTTCGAAAGGCAGCCAGGCTGCAGGTGCCAACTCGGGGTGGGGGGAAGCCTGCACTTGGCCCTGCCTGCTCCAGTGTGGGTGCTGCCGTGCCAGACAGGCCTGGGCTGGGAAGGAGCAAGGGGGAGGGGTGGGAGAGGGAGAGTGAAGGGAGAAAGAGAGAGAAAGGAGGGAGTAAGGGAAGGGAGAGAGAATGGGGTAATGAGAAAGAGGTAGAGAAGGGGGAGGAGGGGGAGAGAAATGCTCTGGTCAGAGCCAAGGGCCTGACACACAACCCACACTGAACACAGCAATGGGGGGGAGAGTGTGGGGGGGAGTTGGGGATGATGACAACACCCAGAGTGTGGCCTTTCAGACCTTTGGAAAGCACCTCCCTAGGAGAGGTGTCCCTGGAGTGGGGCCTAGAGTTACTCGGTCCCTGTGGGTGCAGCTCAGGCAGGAGCAGGCTAGGACCTCCAAGGAGCCTGCCTTTTGCTCTGAGCTGCAGTCTCCTGGGGGAAGGATCCACTCCAGAGTGTCACACGGGCTGCCATTCAAGGGGGAGACAGCTAGTGGAGCACCATGAAGAAGTCACACTGGAGAATTCTGGGAAGGGAGCGCTGAGACCACACTCCCCCCACCCTGGGGTCTCACTGGCAGAGACAATGGGCAGGAGCTACCCATGGATGCCTGAATGCCACCCTTCTGCCCACGCCCTCCCCACTGGCCCAGGAGGCCGCAGGTTCTCAGATGCACTCAGGGCTGACCTCCTTGAGATTTAGCCACGGAACCGAGCAGGGACAGGAGGGCAGCTCAGAGGGCTGTGCTGGCCTCCAAGGGCCACAAAACTGGCCTCTTGCTGCTCCTGCTGAAGCGCCGCTCATGGCACCAGCACAGAGCTGAGCTGAGGGAGGGGCCATGACTGCCAGGTCCTCTGAGGGGCCCCACACAGCTGGGATCCACCTCAGAGGCTTGCATTTCCCAGAAGGGGCACTCACTCGCCCCACAGCGTGGGGGCCCAAAGAGGACCCTACCAGCTGCTCAAGTCATGACGCAGACAAAGACTGGAATGCCCCCGTGGGGTGTCTCCTCACCTATAGGGAGGGGGCAGTGGGGGAGGGGTCCCTGATGGGGGTTGGCAGCCACCTCTCACTAGGGGTAGTGCCGGAGCCCCCTCTGTGCTACCTGGCAGGGGGACCCCTGGCCTGCTCTCGTCAGCGGGGCCATCCACCCTCCTCCACAGGAATCTGGTATTATGGGAGCTCCCAATACACAGCAGCATCCTGCCCTGGCCCCAGCATGGCCACGTCCCGGAAGGCAGGCTCAGAAGGGGGATCAGAGCCGGAACAGCCCTGCTGCTCCATGATGAGGGCCTGAATCATGAGCATCAGTATCCTTCAACATTCCATGAAGGTTCCAAGTCAGAGCATCCAGCAAGAGCTCTGGGGGAGAGGCCGAGGTGGCGGTGAGGGCAAGTTATGCTCACTGCCCTGCGGACAGAAAGAACAACTCTCCCCTCCCCGGACCGGACCTTGTCCTGCCCCCATGACATTCTCTGAAGGGGCTGGCCCCCTGCAGCCTCCTGCTGCCTCTCAAAGGTGGAGGGTGGGGTGAGCCCAGCCCTGCTGGATGGCTCTGGGAGTCAACACAGTACATGGTCAATCCCCCAGGCGTACGCACTGACCTTCCAACCTCTCCATAGCCCTAGACAGAGGCACTGTCAGGACCACTCCTTTGCAAACACAGACACTAAGGCGGAAAGAAAGAAAGGCATTTGTTTGCTCAAGGGCACACACACAGAGACAGAAAGAGAGCTGGAATTCGTGAAGCCGTCTTTCTAGAGAGGCACATCCTTCTCCAGCCCCCTCAGCTCCTGGGGCCCCCCACAGCTGCCATGCTCTTGACCCCCCAGCTGACCAGGCCTGGGCCCCTACCCCCTACCAGGCAGGGCCACCTGGAACAAACTTTGTTCCTCGACAAAGCCCTCGGTGGTGCCCGAGGCTCACTGCAAGTCAGGAATACCAGTTCGAGGGGCAAGGCAGTCCCCGGTGACTCACCATCTCTCTGGGCAGCTTGGCATTTCTGGGCACAGAATGGAAGGAGGAGAGACTGTTGCTTCCAAAGGCCTCACAGGGTGGTGGCCAGGGGCAGCCTAGGCCTGTGACACCAATACCAGGTAGAGGGGGCTCAGCCATGATAAGCGCTGCCGACCTCCTCACCACCGTGGCAGAAGGGCAGGCACGAGCCACTAACACTCTGAGATGCTGCCCTTGGGCCTCAGCTCCAGCGCTCCCAGGGCTCCTGCGCCAGGGAACACTGCTGGATCCACAAGACTGGACATAGCCAGGGCAGCTTGTGTCGTCTGGAGCCCACCAGGCCACCGGCTTTCCTTAGGGTGCCTGACCCCTCTGTGGAGAGGTGGGGTGTGCGTTCTTGCCTCCACAGTACCAGCGAGGGGACGCCGCATTTCAACCCAGCTTACGTCATGAGACACAATACAGCAGCTGCTGGACATTCTCTCAGGACACACACTCCTGGCCCTGCTCAGCGCGGTAGAACCGAGCGGAACCTGGATGTCCTTGGAGCCACTGTGGGGAGGGCCTTTCTGGGTGGTGACACCTGAGGCAGCAGAGGATCTTGTCAGGTCTTGTCAGGGGGAGACCCTCT